AGTCAAGTTTCGAAGTAATAGGATAGTAACACATTCGAAGTCAAATAATCTAAGCTTTTACCTTTTTACCTAAAAACAGGCGGCAGGTCATAACCTACTGTTTCGTGTTTGTTTGGCAGGCTAGTAGCCCTTGTTGGACCAGGAGCCCCGGCGGCTAGGAGGGGAAGTTAGAGCAGCGTGGTCGAAAGGAACTGCTCCATCGTCAAAAAAGAGATATAGAGGAGGGGAGATAGATCCACCATAGGGAGGTTTGGTGTAGCAGACCTTGGCCGCCGTGAGGGCGGGTGGGAACTGTTTCGTGTTTGCAAAGTATGGCGGTGAGTAACAAAGGGTATCTACCAACGAAATCGGAGAAAATGGTTTCTTTGGGGGAGTGGTCAACTCAGCTGAACTCCCAAATGCAAATAAAGTTTGCGTATGCTTTTGGTTGGTATTCTTTTCTAAAAACACTATACGCTTCAGCGAGAAGGCTCAAAACTTTCGAATTTCAGGTCAGTTCTATTTAAAACTTATAGGGTGCATTGTCTGTAATTTCCTGGCCGTTCCGCTGGTAGTTGGTTTCCACGAGAGACTGCGCTGCACAACTTGCCCGCCAGCCCCTACCTACTATCGTAAATGGCAGAGGTAAGGTGGCATGCCTTAGACCCTAATCTTCACGCCGCCCAGCTACTGTGCTTATTCCCAACACCAGTTCACTGATAGGCTCGAACAGTCGACTATTGTAACGGACAGACAAGATAGCAAGAGTGGCTGGTACTGTGGTATTTATTCTCACGCCACATCAGCACATTCTGATGCCCTTGACTCGCTTATGCCACGCTAATGGTTGTGACTTGAAAGACCCTTATGACAGTATTTAGAGTTTATTGAGCCGAGGGTCAGCCTGCAATGGCTCCTTGACGTTACCTTTTTGGTGTTTAAAAGTGTGAACTCCAGGCCGCGCTTATGAGCGCGTATGCAGGCTCTCTCACTTTGTCAGCCACTATGTTCCTGTCCAGCTCCGGTCATGTGGACTTTGCGTTGCCATCATAGTAAGACAGGCGATAAAGGAGTGTGATAAATGCTATACCAGTCGGCCTCGCTGTAAACTAACTCACGCTGCTGCGCCTCCTTCATACGAAATTCGTCGCTTGCGATTCTCATAGGGAGGAAGCAGTGGGTAGCACGGACTTCACTTATTTCGGCCACATCCAAGGCGAAAGGGGCTAGAAATGTGTCATGTACATATGTCCCTCGGGTCCGCATGCCACGAAATGACGGGTGTTACTCCCAAAACTTCCAAGAACTTCACACAACCTCGTCATTCATCTGCTTTCCCTAAAAGTTAAAGCACTTGCTTAATTGTGTCAGCTACACTAATTACACCTTTTTGATCCATGTATGATTAGATAGTGCGAGTTAGAGCCAGGGTGCAATAGCCACTTTGCTCAGGTCGATTTTTAGTCAATCACTCAGTGGGCCTTGCCTTCCCTCTTTCCGCTAGTGATCGACAAGGAACACATATACTAGGGGTGGGGGTGCTTGGCGACCAATGTTGATTTGCTGATCCTTTAAGAACGGATGTTTACTACTTTTTTAGCCCGAACTCGCCACCTGTTCATTCTCTTTTTACCTTGTTTTAGGAGATGACTGTGGAGTTGTTGAGGGCTTCGTTTACGGAGATTGTGGCTACTGTTTGTGCCCAAGTGGGATTCGAAAAGGTCAACGTTGAGGCCGTTGACATACTCGCCGATATATTGCACAAATACCTCAGCACCCTTTCAGAGTTTATTGCGGCTCTGGGTGGTAAGCATTTTATGATGACACTCGTTTTTGTGTGCCAGAGGATAGCTACTTTGGTCTCCTCGATGGGGTCACGACACTGGAAGTCCTCGATCAGCCGCTGGAGTCCTTGCTTACATTTGCCGATGAAGTTGGCG